GCTGGACGCAGACCAATGATGTCAGGGCTTTCCTAGCAGGGCTCAAGAAGGCAGATGTCACCAAGGGCGACATCAATCCTTGTTTGTACAGGATGGCTAAAGAAGGGCAGATCCTTCAAGATCCGAACTCAGAAAAGCCACGCTGGAAGTCTGCTACTGGTCAGCTCAAAGCACCACATCCCCATCCCCTTCCCGCTCCTTCCTGCGACGACATTTCATTCACTGCTTCAACTTGTTCAGCTTCAGCTTCTGCTCCTCTGCGCCCCAGCGTCTCTCCGCCCAAGCGAGCTCCCTACACTGCCTCCGCTGCTCCCGCTGCTCCCGCAGCTCAGCCAGCCGCATCGGCTTCCGAAGCCACACCGGCAGAAAGCCCAGGCGACCCGCCCGCAGGTTGTGTAGAGCCCATAGATGAGGAGCTGCAGCTCCAGGTGGTCACAGTGCAGCTGAGGGAGCACAACAAGCTGAAGATTCTCTTGCAGAAGAAAGGTATTCAGATGTGCAACAAACAGGGTAACTTTGGCCAGCTCATCAAGGCTGCCCATGCAGAGGGGCTGATCGATGATACGGAAAAGTCTCGCCTACAACAAATCAACATGCGTGGCAACTGCGGAAAGCACAAGCCTGAGAGGCTGCAACGCCAACCAGCAGACGGGCCCGCACCTGCAAGCGAGGATGAGAGCACGAATGGTAATAATTCATAAGACTAGTCATAGTAGATACTAATCGTACTAATTAGTATATTGTGATCGTGAATGACAATGGGACTAGTAATTAATCCCTAAGGCTCCCAGTTACCTAAATAGTAGGTTACTGGGCTATGTAACTATTGGGTATATAGGACTCAGTTCCCATTATTTAGGTAACTGGAGCCCTAGGGAATACTACATTGAAATAAAGGATGCCGCCGCAGATGCGTAGTGGGCTCACTGGATGTCTTCACCACTTACTTTGCTTGCTGGTGGAGGAATTCATCCCAAGAGTAGCCCCCCAGAATCCCCAACAGTGATATAGGGATTGTATGACGATTATAGGGTTACATAGGGAATATGGAAAATCCAGTGGAAACTATTTTTTGGGTTTATAGGCTAAATTTTTTCATTCCTCACATCTGGTAAACTTAGTCAGGGCTCTCAGGACAGTGGTGCTCTGAACCCTGATGGCCCGCAAGCTCCTGGAAAGCCAATGCAGCCCAGCCGCTTGCTGTGCCAGAGAGGCAAAAAAAGTGTCGCGCGTGATGTCCCAAGACTACTTAGGACCTAGGTGTTTTGAAGCATGAGGGTCCCGCCATAGCCTAAAAGCAGCATGCTCCCATTATCGGGGCTCCTGAAAGGGACTGTCATTGAGGACCTTGTGCATGCTTTTCTGATGGTTGGGGGTCGAAGCCTGCGACAGGGAAAAGAGACTAAGCGAGAGACGCTTCTGAAGCAAATCAAAGACGTGGATGAGCTCATGAATGAGGAGCCGCGTTTTCCTGCGATTATTCTTGTTAATGTGTGTATATATATATGTATATTATGACTATTATTATTACTGCTATAGTTATCGTTTTAGATTTTATTCAACCATCACCCAGAGGGTCCAAGTCGCCAATGTTACGCTACTTGGGTTTTGGGTAATAGTAACCATACTACAGGGTTTGGGTAGGTATATGATTATTATTGGGTAGTTGGACACTTTGGCTTAGGGATCGCATTTCAAATGTATATGGGCTAAATGTCATGCGCCGCCGTAATGACTGTTGTGTAGAGCTGGTTAGATTGAGGTCTCAGTTTTTTGCCATAAGCAAATCGTAGTGCTCCTTTTTCAGAGCACCCAGCTCCAACTGCTGCGGGTCTGCGGCCATTTCGCGGCCCCTCTCTAAATCCTAAGCCCTAAACCCGAAACCCTACACGGGAGAGTTCACATGTCAAATTTGGCCGACTTCTGCTTGTGGGACAGCATGGCTTGGAAAGTCCTCTCGTGCTTCAGCACATGACCGGAATCGGGACACTACAGAAGTTAATATTCATATATAGAGATACGATATAGTAATACTGATAATGATAGTGCTAATATATTGTCTTACAAGGATAATGAAGGTAGTTATAATGATAATACTAACAATAATATCAAGCTTGCGGCAGGAGCTGCGCAACGCGCGAAAATTCGTGGAGCGGCAGCAGCTTTTCGAGAAGAAGTACATGATCGGTTCTAAGCTGGGCGAGCAGGCATTCCTCCAATGTCAAACAGCTAACTAAGTTTTCGCGCGATTTGAGGTTAAGGGCGGGAGGGGGTACCAAACGGATATCGGAGGGACAAAAATGAAATGGAAGCTGGGTGCATATGGAAAGTTGTTCAAACTATGGTCCCTCATGGCGTCCCTTGTATAATGTGGCCCCTAATCTTTGGTGTAGCCTTGTTGTGACAACCTACCATATAAGGGTACATAAACGCAGTCTGGAACCGGAGGGGCTCTGTACATCCCAGGCTAAATGGAGGAAAGCTACCTGATGCTTATCAGGCTTTAAACCCTAAACCCTAAACCCTAAACCCCTTAACCGCGTTTAGGGTTTAGGGAAGTCAGGCTTGGATCCCTTTGATAATCCTTCCATGAGTAACCTTAGATGCCCCAAAAAAGGTAAAGGTATCAAAATAGGAGGCACACCACCGGTTTTTTTAGGTATATAGGTTATTCTAGGACTCTAGATCCCCAACCCCCCAGTATACTACATTCCAATACCGGTTACTCTAGGTAGGGACAAGACTCAGTAGATTGAGATCTGAATTTTCAAAGCGTGGCTCAGGATGACGTTCAGGCTTGGAAGAGTTTTTGGCAGGGTTTGGGGCGTAGGGTACGCCCCATACAACACAGTATGGTCTCCGGACGCTGAACGATCTTACAGCCCTGCTGAACAATGGCGGTTTCCTATAAGGATGCCCAAGTTCTCTGTTCCAGAAGTGAGGTTGGGGGCGGGATGACTGCAACTAACGCCGGGGTGCAACAGCCCTAAAGGTCCACGTACTTGATGTTCGCGTATTTAAGAAGGGTCTAGGCAATAATACATGTAGCATAGGTTTTAGGTAACAACATAGTATGAGCATCGGGTACTTGGATCCCCCTAGACAGCAGAATGCAAAACATGGCTATCCCCGGCAATGAGCCTCAGAAGTCGGCCGTCGGCTTCATTCCCTGGGAGTACGACCTCCGCAAGACCAGTCTTCCAAGAGGCTCCAAGTACCCAATGTTTAGCCACTTGGGTTTAGCGTAATAGAAACTATGGTAGAGGTTTTGGGTCAATATATGATTATTGGGTACTTGGACCCTTGGGGATTTCATCATGACAAGAGCTTGGGATTAGCACAGCCTATTTTAGAGACCAAGGATACACTGCTTTCTATACGCATGTTCCATACGCCTGCACCCTCAAATCCATAGCTCCCAAAACACAGTTGCAGAAAGACCGGGGCCCTGAACCCTAAACCCTAAACCCTGAACCTCGTCACCAAACAGCTCAAACCTTGCTTTTCCCTGACCACCGAAAACAGTTTCCCTTGGGGGTTGGGGGGTGGAGGTGCCCATTTCTGTGGTTAAGTATCCAACTCTGGTAACTTAGAAAATGTTGGCAGGATCTGTTGCGAATTACACGGCCCCTAAGGGATTCATGTAAATTCTTCCAACCCTGAAACAATATTTCCCAGAGGGTCCAAGTTTTATGTTCTAAATTCGCTTTTGGTATCTCAAGCCCCAACCTTAGGATACATGGACCCTACACCCTAAAACCTACCTAGACCCTCCAATGTAGCACTTTTTCCTAGCCCCAAAACCATACCAAACCCAAAAAGGAACTACATTGGAGGGTCTAGGTACCCTGGACCTTTGGGTTTCGGAGGCCCCGCGGAAGAACGCGCTCATCCTGATCGAGCAGTCTGACGTCCAGAGCGCTTGGGTTGATGAGGAAGCGCCCCACTACCGGTTTACGGTTTAGGGTACCTGCCCCACTACCTAGAGTTGCACTGAGGGGGAGTTTGGGAATTAGGGTGTAGGCTTCAGGGTCCTAGAGTAACCGATATACCCAGAAAAACCTGGCTTCGTACCTAATACTTTAGTATCTTTGTCTTTTTAAAGGGTCTAAGGTTACTCTAAGTAGGTTACAACAAGCCCAGCTTCCATTTTGGGTTGCATGTACCTTTTCTGTCCTTTTGAGACTTTACACCCATTATGATACAGGTCTTCTATAAACCCTAAACCCTAAACCTAGTATTCTAGTTAGGTCGTTTATGCGGTTCATCAAGTTTAGGGTTTCAGAGTGTAAGGACCCAAGGGCGGCTATGTAGTTCTTTTTTGGGGTTTGTTATGGACTTATGTGATTATAAGGTACTACCCCAAAAGGAGCTGCATGGGACCATAGGAGCCCCTCGGTAGGTGATTCGGCAGGTTTAGGCTTTAGATGTTCCACCACGCTAAGGCTCCCAGTTATCTAAATGGTAGGTTACTGTGCTAAGTAACTATAGGGTATATAGAACCCAGTTCCCATTATTTAGGTAACTGGAGCCCTAGGGTTACCTTATTGATTAAAGTAGATACCTCGGATCATGTTACATTCGGGATCCTTTTATCATGTTGGGTATATTCTTTGATTAGGCGATCTTGGGCTTGGGCTGTGTGGGTAAGTTCGACCGAGACCGGGAGACATCCTTTAGACCTCGCGGGGTAGCATAAGACCCTAACGGTCCAAGGAACCAAATAATTAGGTTTTAGGGCCCAAATGCTATATTATCAAAGTATTTGGGCCCTAAGACCCTATTATTTGGGTCCTTGGACCCTTAGGGAGAGGGTAGGGTGGTAGGAATTCCTACGGGGTTTCTCGCATACCATGGATTCCTCGCTCAGGGCCCCTGCAGCTCTATCATGTGGCTCAAGCCTTGTACAGAATACTTGCCTTACGCGGTTTAGGGTTTAGGGGTTAGGGCTTTTGTCGCCCTTGGCCCTAAGAGGCAAGGAGGCCTTAACGCTAACCCCTGTGACTCTATATCTTAGAAAGGCCTCGTATTACGAGACCATGAGACGAAGATTAAGAGGGAAGCCTCACGCAATGAACAATAGGACCCGAGTATTTTTTTTTGGGGGGGGGTCGGACTACCTGAGTTAGGGGATATACCTTGAGTCATATAGGTATCCTAGTATCATTTAGCGTATATTCCCTTATTAAAGGATATAGGGCTTTCTGGGTTACCAAAATCCTCTTCTTGAGAGTGTACTTGGGGAGTGCCAAGTCATGGGCTCCATGTTAGGGCCGTTAGGGGCCCTTCAGGGTTACGTAGAGTTGAAGGTCTCGAATTTAGGGTTTAGTAGGCCGGGATTGGGTAATCACGGAGAATGGAATGGTACATGAACCGTAAGCCCTTCACTAAGATGTACTGGACCCTAAAACCCTATAAACCCTATAAACCCTAAACCCTGACGACTTGGCCCGGCCACTTCCCAAAGGTCTAAGTACCCAATATCTAGGATTTTGGCAAAAATAATTGTAGTACAGGTTTTGGGTAAGTATACTCTTATTAAGTACATGGACTCCCTAAACCCCTAAACCCTAAACCCCTAAACCTTAAACCCCTAAACCCTTAAACCCCTAACCCCTAAACCCCTAAACCCTAAACCCTAAGCCTACAAAGGTTGTACCCTGTGAAGCCTCGACCTTGGCCTGGCCACGTCAGATTTGGCTCTAGCGATCCGAAGCGGAGGCCTCGGGGCCTCCTGGGCCAAGGCAGCCTTTTGGCGAGCCATGGTCGTGGCCTTAGGGGGATCTGGGGCCTAGGGTTTAGGGTGTAGGGTGTAGGGCCTAGGGTTTAGGGTGTAGGGTTTAGGGTGTAGGGTTTAGAGTGTAGGGTTTGGGGTGTAGGGTTTAGGGTGTAGGGTTTAGGGTTTGGGGGGATTTAGGGGAATTCAGGGTTTAGGGGATTAGAGTCTAGGATGCCTGGCCTTAGGGGGACCTTAGGTCCCAACAGCCATATGGACCTTTTGGGTAACTACCGTTCAAAAAGATCTATCTAGGTACTCCTTGGGGGAATCTAGGCCTTTTTAGAGAGTACTTAGTCTTTGTAGCCTCGGCAGAGTTTACGGTTTTGGCAATTAGGGTTTAGGGTTCAGAGCCGAGTGTTTGTGGCTTGGCTGCGTGCCAGGATCACAGCTTTCTGATAGGGGCTGTGAGATGTCGGGGGAAGCGACAGTGCGCTGGAGTATTATAAGGAAGACGGGCATCATGGCGATCTTTTGGAATTCGTGTATACGAGGATGGCGTAGATGCGGCCATAGCCTCTGAGCAAACACCTGGAGGATCAGGGGGAGTCAATAAGTATACTTTCAAGCGCTGTAAGACATATAGCAGCCCAGTGATCCACGTTATTAATCTACATTTGCAGAGTCCCCCTGGCCCTCCAAGTGGGGAGAGCGAACGCAGCCATGAAAGCATCTAGGCCCACATGTCCTAACTTTGTGCACTAGATTCGCGTGGTGTTAAGCAACATCCTGAAGTAGAATTTTCCAAGTCTTTAAGGCTCAAAAGGCTCGCTCCCCAACGCGGTTTAGGGTTTGGGGTTTAGGGGAAATCTCGTCCAGGCAATGGGGAAGATGACGCTGAAGGACCTGGACGTAAGGGAGAAGCGGGCGGCAACCTTACCATCCGTTGCACAACGAGAATCTGTGGGCGCCAGCCAGCTTCTATATGACGGGGTTGCTGTTAAGGAGTTTTTTCCCTTAAGACTAGTTTTGGGGGAACAACATTAATTAGCAGCCCAGCGTACCTAACCTAGACACCCCACGTACCAGACACACGGCCTTTAGCCCATTGTCTGGTATAAAAGGGCATGGCTAGTGATATTGGGTGGTTTTTGTATAGGTAACCTCTGAACCATCGAGAGCATCTTGAGTGAACTTGCATGAACTAGGGCAGGGCATTCTAGGTTCTGTTCCTGCTCTTTACGATTTGATGCTGGGTTGCTGAAATCAGGTTCTGTGATAGATTATGCGCCGCCTCACAGTGGTAGCGTAGCTTAAGCCCTCATAAACCCCAACCCTTACCCAAATAATAGTGCTTCAGGGCCCAAATACCACTAATATTATAGTAGCTGGGCTTGGGTCCTTGAACCGTTAGGGCTAAGTTCTTCAAGTTCCTCCAAAGCAACCCGGCTTGAGCTTTCACGAGTAGACTGCACATGCTCACACAAGCTA